GGTGGATCAATACCAATCTGTTTGTACAAGTCATGATGCGTTAAGGGCAACTCTACAGCTTCACGTATTTCCTGTTTTTGCATATCCATGCCTCCAATATCTGAATAGCAAACATCAGGTCTTTCATCTGAAAAAAAAAGAGAATCAAACTTAAACTCTGTAAAGATTGAGAGTGAAATGTGATTTTGTATGGGCTATAATGGAATGTAACTGTATCAATGCATAACCAAAACCGATAGTCACCAGTTGGATACATTTATATTTAATGTCTAAATGGTTCATGGATAAAATTAACGGCATTGTAAATATGCTGATTTCTACACATGACTTTAGACAAAACATAAGTACACAGAACTAATTAGGCTTTATGGTCAAATAAAATTAGTATTTAAAAATTTCCGTATGCAGGATGAGATATGGTTCCAGAAGAGCACTGTTGAAAATTTAAGATCCAGTAGTTTGTTTAACAAAATGACATACATCAATTTACCAAGTTTAAATGATATCAAAGTTTCAGGGAAATAAAGATGTACTTTATTATCGCTTGGAACTAATTTTTCGCTATTTTCGCTGAAGGAATGTTTCAGTGAAAATAAAATACAGTGAATATACCGTTTTTCCTATCTTTTACATTCAACTCGTCGAAAATCATTGAAAATAAATTCCATGCAAAACACCCAAAAAATAGTTTCAGCTAAAATAAAGTATTCTACAGTACATGATAAAGTTGATAACTGTTGACAATTGTTACCTGCACTCAGCATTGTAATACTGCTATCTGCTTCTGGTGGTAAGACATCTACCAATGCATTGCTGTGTTTATGTAGGGCTACGGATGCACTGGGTTTCAAGAGCTCTCTGTCTATAGTACTCAATATTCGTATATAATAATTCGAACCTGCAAACAACACATTTCATTGTCATGACCACATAGACAACATGATGGAAGGTTAAACGGTTTTTGGTGTTTTTCTGTTTTATGGCAGGGCATTTACATTATTATGTGAATAAAATAAAGCAAATAGATACAGAGATGATTAATGCATAATAGAATACACTTGCGGACCTTGACCAAGGTTCCCCCAAAGTCACAATTGATAGTGAATGAATCTCTGCCAGTGGAATTGGCCTTCCCATTGAGTCTGTGGCATTCTCACCCAGGGTATGGGTCTGATGCAACAACCACTATGCTACCAGTGACTGGTTAATAGAATACATTACTTAACACCAAGTGACCCCTACCTGTTGTTGAGCCAACTATACCAGTATTCTGATCAACAGCTTCTAAAAACTGACCAATAACTAAAGGAACGCTTTGGATTCGTTTCACTTCTTCCTGTGCATGAAGATATTCTTTTTTCAAATTCTTTTGTTCATCTTTAATATATTCTTCTTGAACTTCCAGGAATTCCAGCTGCATTCCCAGTTTCTGTAAATTTAAGGATGTTTTAAGTTTTCTTCCAGTGCTTAGTTTGCTTAGTTTGTTATTTCAATACAGGGCCTCAGTCCATCATATAAAAAGTATTTACAATGTACATTGTAATGTTTAGAAAAGTACATAACACATTATTGTTGAACACCTGCTGCCATTTTATACAAGTCATAAATCAGTTCACACACAAAATGTATAAGCCAAGGCCGTCATAGATTGTCAGTGGATATCAGTCACTTGAGAAACGCCAATCTTCATTCCTAGGAGCAATGCAATTTTCCCCAAAACCAACATATTAGGGATATAGAAATAAATTGTTTACTGGAAATGTACGCATTTATGTTGGATTGGGTGGTTCACGATAACGTCGCAGAAGTCCGGTGTGCAGATTTTGGTTAAGACCAAATCAATGAATGGGGTTGCTATGGTGTTTTGACACCTCTTTAGCGATCGGTGATTGTTCTGACGGCAAAAATATCATGCCTTTATCAGGATAAGTGATCAGAGCTCGCCGCTACTTGTGGGCTGTCATTCAAGCAATGGAACTGAGAAACATTGATTGCCGGTCGTTGAATTTTGTGATCACACCACAGTCGAGACTGACTGATCACATGAATTAAAAAGTCACTATGATTGAAGTGAAAATTCAAGCTGTGAAAGTGCCAGCAAATGAAATGCTGTGCATAAAAGACTAAAGATACATCACCAGAACCTCCACTGCCTAACTCGAGAGTACATTGTTTACCTACCGATGCAATCTATTACGCCGAACTTTACGCTATGCTGAAATTTATAACCTCAAGTAAACGCAAGAATGTCGACCAAGACAAAAAAAAAGATCTAGTACAGAAAAAGTCTAAAGTCAACGATGCCAGTGGAAAATCTATGACTCCTACTTGACGTAAACAAGCTTCAAGTTTTCAAACCAAGTGGGTCAGAGGTACTGTACTGAAAATTGTGTCAGAAGTACAACATGTGTCCATACGATCAAGATACATGGAATAAAACTCCATTCAGGCGTATCAGACTGTGCACTGTCAAAGAGCACAAACAGACAAACAGGTCATCGAGATGCCACAAAACTTGAGGTGACAGCCGCTGCTAGTCAAAACATTGGGGAAATCATTCAACCTGAAGTCAACAGAGACGCCATCACATCGGCCTTCATCGTTCTAGATTTCCTGGCAAAACAACGTATCCCGCTCACAACAAACTTCGAGCCAGTACTCGATCTACTTTCACAGCTTGGTTTGTCAGTGAAGAAAAATCTACGAGTCAGCAAAAATGCGATGTATTGCAGCGACAAGTCAATCAAGGAAATGTTAGCAATATTATTATCCACAATTGAAGAAAGCACCATTGAACATCTGAAGAAATCAGAGTATTTTGCCATCATGTTAGACAAAACGACGAACGTCAGCATTAGTGAACAATTAACTTTGAAATGTCGATTTTTGAATGAATCTGGGCAACTGTGTGTCAGATTTCTTAAAATGATAGAGCCATTTAAGTCAAGTGACATCGCCCAGCCGCCATCTACCGTCACTCTCAATGCATCAACGATCGCCAGACACGTGGCCGAGTACATTGAACGCAAACAACTTAGCGCTGACCAACTCGTTGGGATTGGCACTGATGGCGCAGCAGTAATGACCGGGGAAAATAACGGTGTTGTGAAGAAACTCCAGGATCTTGCAACTACTGCTATAGGCATTCATTGTTCCGGTCACTGCCTCCAACTTGCATCATGTCAAGTAGCTAACACAGTTCAATTTGTCAAGAAATTCAACACAATTCTACGGCAGTTGTACGACTACTATGACAACAGTGCAGTACATATGGCCGGTCTATATGCAGTTCCAACAACACCAGGAGAAAAAGTTCTGAAGCCCATCCAACCGTCTTCAACTTGGTGGCTAAGTATCAAGATGTCGACAACTAGACTGAAAAAAGGTTAAGTCAGTATCATGGTCAGTTTGGATTGAGAGGGAGAAGAATGAGGTGACGTGAAAGCTGCCGTTTCTTTCCACCTCTTGTCCAGTTACCAATTTATTGCTACAATGTTGCTGTTGTGTGATTTGCTGCCCCACGTCAGTCGTCTTTCCAAAGCATTCCAGGCGCAGGAATTCAAATACAGTTGACTAAAACCACTGGTGACGTCTACGATTTCTACAATACAACAGATGAAGACAGTAGATGTGGATAATTTACAGAAATTGCCAGAATTTATCGCAAATCTTGAGAAGTCTGCCATCGTAGTGAAACAGCGCACTGATGACGAAAAATACTTGAAAGAGCAGATCCATGAAAAATACATCAACGCATTGGTCAGCAATTTAGAGAAGCGATTCCCGTCCGGCGACATCAGTATTCCGTCGCAATTTAGCATATTGATCCTCATCGGCTTCAAACTGAACAATCACCTGATCATGGCACCAATGCAGTGAAAACCCTGGCAGCACACTTTCTACACCCGATCAGCGCCTTTCTGAAAGGCATGGTGAAAGTTTGTTAAAGTCATGTCTATCCCACGAATGCATTGCTTGCATACCACATACTAAAGGGAGATGCGTCGAGAGTTACTGCGTCCGGTGATCAATTTCTATGGGTTGTGTGCAGCCTGGACTTGACGTGTAGCTTGTTGACTTGGCAGTGAATGACTTGTTCATGCTATTATCATGCTGGAATATTGATGCGTTTACACAACAGCATTTTATCAGAGCACTATGGCTTGAGCCAGCAAAAATGGCTGTGTATACGCATTCAGCTCAAGCCAAGTTTGGCTTCAATAAACCCTTGGTGTTTAGCTCTGATAGGATTGGCCGAAATAACGCCCTCAAGCATCTTTCTCAAGTAACCTCTCATTTCAGTTATGGCAGAAACAACATCATTTGTAATTTCTGGTTTGACGAAGAGGTACGCGCATTAATATCTATTTGGCAGAGTAAAGAAATACTGCGATAGATTGATAACTCAACTTGAAATGGGAAAATGGTGTACAAAATTACGCGACAAACACTTGAAAGGACGACTGAACAGGTCCAATGGAAATCAAAGTAATCACCCTTGTGGTTTTCAACAAGAAGTCGAAAATATCACTTTTTACCAAAAATGACAAATCATCTAAATTAGGGAATTGAAGATATCACGAAATGAACAAATCTGAGAGAAGTCTACATGTAATACCCACATTGTACCGAATTCTGCCGTAAATTCGCCCAGGGCCGTTAAACGCAGTTCGGGTTTTTAAAAAAATAAATAGGGATCAAGAAACCGCTCAGGGTGATTTTTCTGCAGTTTTTTAAGGTGTTATTTTAATCTTTTGTGATGCCTAAAAGTTTCGCCGTAGTCATTGACGTCTATTCAAGAGTATTGATGTTTATTGCGACTAGCGTGAATGGGTTAGCTTCGTTTCGACAATGAGTTGTTATCGCTGTAAATAATGTTAAATTATTCTTCAAATGCTCAGTTTATCTTTTGAAAACAGCTATTTTTTTTATTTAAAAACAAATCATGCCGCTTTCCCATCATAATCCAAGCCAAAAGATCGTACAACAACATCGGCAAATGTCTTCCATGCTGGGTTCAATAACATTAACATATTTAAATGTGTTATGGTAATTTGAACACGTTGGCATCATCCATCGTTTTCATTAGTTAATTATCAATTTGACCTGTCAGGCCAGGTCAAAACATGGTGGATATTCATTTCTACAGCATCGAGCGTTGAAAATGCGATCGGAATCATTCGCTTACGATGAAATAAGTTGAAATTTATTTGCATTTCATAACAATTCAACGAATTTATTTTTTGCACATTATTATAATCATTACCAGGTAATAATCAACAATTGTAAAACGCAGCATGACCGGTTTGCACTACCACGATCATTCGCTACTAAGCAATGCAGTTGCGTTCGTTGTTATTTGAAACTTCTTTTAGAATATACTTTCGTTACTAATAAAATGAAACAAAATAATTGTATTTGGCGCACGATGTTCCTTGATGTGATTTTTTTGGAGAAAGATGCGCTGTCTACTTATTAATCCAGCTAGAAAAAAATGTATACCATTTTAGTTTCTTTCTTTTTGAATGGTCCAACTGCCGGTGTTGAGAGTCGGCGTAGGTGAATTTTTCAATGAAAATATAAGCCCCCTAAAAATATTTGATGATAATGTTTGAAAAATTTGAACCCCAAATAAGGGGATAGGGTTCCACCAGCCTTAAAACCACTCGGGGCGATTTTTCGGATGGGCGAATTTATGGCAGAATCCGGTATATGTATAACATCAAAGCAATCGAACTTGTGGTTTTTAACAAAAAGTCAATCAATGAATTCACGGTAATCCAGAGGTGTCAATGGGTTATGGTTCCACCAGCCGTAAAACCGCTCAGGGCGATTTTTCGGATGGGCGAATTTATGACAGAATCCGGTGTATGTATAACATCAAAGCAATCGAACTTGTGGTTTTCAACAAAAAGTCAATCAATGAATTTATGGTAATCCAGAGGTGTCAATGCCGTTTTAAACTAGGCACCATCAACAATGCCTCAGACCATTTAGACATTATTGACCCATCTTTACATTTGCATAAATGTGTTCGTCATTCACTTAAAGCAGCGGAGTCATCACCTGCACATGCATCAGATGGCCAAAGCGTGTCATTTTGTACAAACAAGCGTTTTTAGTGTCGTTTGGGACTCGATTCCCGCACGTGTGCAGGTGACTACACTCCCACTTTAAAGAGACAGACACACTTCAAGTGCCATGGGTGGAGCGAAAGCAACTGGTGGTTCAAGTGTCAGTCACAAGCCATGATGCCCAAAAAGCCTGGGGAACACTGATAATGGTGTTATGGCAATTTAATGCACTTATCCTGGTGTCAACAAGGTCAAGACTGAAGGTGAACACAAGCACCTGCTGACCAAGGCTACCCCAAAGTCGTATCCGTCAATAAAAAAACATTACCAAACTAAGTTTGTCTTCGATTGTGTTGACTCCAAAATGGCAACAATGAGGTTGAAACTTGTTCTGCCCTCTTACAACAATATTGTGAATTACTTTGTTTTTTTTTATTCAATGCACAACATGTATTACAAATTAGGGTTAGGGAAGGTATGGACCACTGATTGTTGACAATCTATATTTTATTTGTATGTACCTTATACCTGCTTCCTAAACCTAATGCAAAGACACTCTATTCAAAATTATCAAACAGTAACTTACCATGACGTCAT